CCGTCATCGTAGTACACGCTTGTCGTTTCACATTTGCCAATAGTACATATGTTATCCAACAAATTAGTCGACCTCCCAGCTGTCTCCTTCTTTTGTGTTTGATTGTTCAGTGGTTGTATTTGTTACAGGCATCTCACGTTTGATCCAACGTTTAGAGGATGGTTAGGTTTAAAGTTGGATAAATTTGATTGGGTGAAAAGTAGGATATGATGTTTGCTAAATTCCACTAGCTGTTTGTTATGAGAAAGGATAAGGAAAACGACCTGAAACAGACATATAAACGAGATCAAGCAGCTCATTTCTTCTTTAACCCATTTAAATCAATGGCTACCAAATGGAAGTAGGATGAAAATATGAGCCATTGATAAATCTCCCGAGCACCTCATTACGCTTTGTTAAGTGTCATATCATATACTAGTACTGGGCCCGATTTTTTTTTTTTTTTTTGACAAAAGATAATGATATATTGATTGAGAAAAGATCATTACACCATGGAGTTTAACCAGACACAAAAATCAAAATAGCGACATGTAATCGGGTACAAAAAATGGTCTTTCGAGCCACCAAATGGGCTACCCTATTACTACTCCGACTTACAAATCGCACGAGGAAACCATTCTGATCGTTGACTTAACGGACCACCTCTTCAAGAACAAGCCCACCTCTGCTATCTCTGGTATCCACCTGATTAATTTTATCAATAATTACCTTGGCATCCCCCTTAAATCTTGTCTCCGTGAACCCTAAATCCAAACACCACAAAATTGCTTCTCGGAGGACCAAAAGTTCAACCACTAAAGGATCATCAATGTCCGGGAACTGAACACCTTTCACCACAAGGATCCCCCCTCGCGATCTTGAATAAGAATACCCCCAGCCGAATGGGAACCCACTCTGGCCGCACCATCCCACGTGCAAACCACAGAATGATGAGTCCCACCCACCAATTGCCCCGAATACGCATCCCCATACTGGATGATTCGATCAACAAGCAGACTAGTCCATTCCTGATACTGCTGCTAAAACTGTCTCATTAACGCTGGAATCCTGAATTGTTTGCCTTCAAAGACAACCCAATTTCGCGATTTCCAAATTCGCCAGAGGATCGCCACAAAAGCCATGAATGCGGAAGTCTTATGAATGAGGCCCATAACCTTCTTGAGAAAAAGGGGGAAAAGTACGATGAGGCAACCCTTGGCCTACATATTCAAGACCCGAATGATCCCAAAGAGCTCTAGCCACCGGACACTCTAGAAACAAATGTTCCAAAGTTTCGAAATCCGCCCAACAGACCGGCACCTAGGTAGCACACTGGGACTTCCTTCTCAAGTAAGGCTTTAGTTGTCGGAAGGATACGGTTAAAAATCTTCCAGAGAAATAGCTTCAATTTTGGCGGAATGTAAGCATCCCAAAGGCAAATCCAACTCGATTTATCCATCCAGCTGACCACACTATGCCACCGTCCCTTCTGCCTATCCATCCAAACATCAAGATGATTGGCCGATTTAACAGTGAAGACACCATCACATGCTTCATGCCAAATGAGCCTATCATCGATATCCTGTCGTAGTAGCGATATTTTCCTAATAGCATGCGACGTAGTTGGGTTAAACCTCTGGGCAAGCTTGGTCTCACACCACGTGCCCCCTGGAGTCAGTACCTCTTCTACCTTTGGTTCCCCATTCCCAGGAAGAACACATGGGTTGTAGACAGGGGCTTGAGGGTGAAGATCCGGAATCCTACTAGAGCTAAGTAAAGGAGCAGAACGCCCATTACCAATATGCCACCGGAGCCCCTGCACAAGCAACTGTCTACCATACAATACACTCTGCAGCCCCAAGATGGCGGGGGGACCCCTCGAGGAAGGACCCATGAGGAAAGTACTTCCCTTTGTAAACCTGAGCAAAAAGCGATTGGGGGTTTGTGAGGATACGCCAGCCAATTTTAGCCAACTAGGCCTGATTAAAAATGCTCAAAGTGACGAAACCCCATTCCCCCCTCATGCTTACTATGACACATATTTCGCCAAGAAATCCACCGAATCCGGGACTGCCGTCCTCCACCCCCCACCTAAATCTGGCTACATGTCTATCCAACAACCGACATAAGGCAAGGGAAAGTTTGAAACAGGACATCACATGAAGAGGCAAAGCTAAGGCCACCGACTTAATCAAGACCTCTTTAGCTGCCTGAGAAAAAGTTCGCCTCTTCCACCCTTATAGACGACTTAGTAGCTTCTCCTCCAGGAACCTGAACGTAGCCATCTTGGATTGAGCTACCAACGATGGTAAACCAAGATACTTATCCTAAACACCCACAGCCCCCACCCCCAGAAGCTGGGCGAGGAACTCCTTGTCCGGAAGAGAGATATTTCTACTAAAGCACATCGCAGACTTGGCTAAATTCACTCTTTGGCCACTTAGTTCCTCATATTCATTCAAGATCTCAATCAAGTTTTCACATTCCTGCACTGACCCTCAGAGGAATAGGTAATTATCATCCGCAAAAAATAGATGCAAAATTCTAGGAGCCCGAGGAGCAACCTTTACCCCTGCCAATTTCTTCTCGAAAATCACCCGCCTGAGGAGAGCCGCAAACCCCTCCGTACAGAGAACAAAAAGCAGAGGAGAGAGCGGGCCTTCCTGACGAAGACCTCTCGTTGGGGCAAAAAAACTAGACGGCGTGGTATTCATCATAATCGAGAAAGTCGTGGAGCGAAGACACTCATGCACCCAGTCACGCCAGATCGCGTTAAAACCCAATTTGTCTAAAACCGCCAGGTGAAAAGGCCAGTCGACTCTATCATAGGCCTTTTCCATGTCAACCTTTAGAGCCATGTACCCTTTCTTCCCGCGAGTTTTGATTTTCAAATAGTGCATTAACTCGTACCCTATAAGAACATTTTCCACAATTTGTCATTCACGAATAAAAGCATTCTGGCCCTCAAAAATAATCTGTGTGAGGAACAACGCCAAACGCTCTGCCATAATCTTGGTTATAACCTTGTACACAAACTAGCATAGACTGATTGGTCGGATTTGTTTCATATTCTCAACACTATCAACTTTGGGGATTAGAGTTAGCCACGTATGATTAAAACTACGGAGGATTCTGCCTATAGCAAAGAACGAGCGCACCGTAACAATCACCGAGTCCCCCACAATATTCCAAAAGGACTTGAAAAATTTACCAGTGAACCCATCCGACCCCGGGACCTGTTTCGAGCCCATGGAAAAAACCGTTTGGCGGATCGCGCCCAGAAGGACCTCACCCGGAAGGATCTCAGCCGTTAAGCTAGAATTCATCTCCGCAGACACCCGTCTGTCAACCGGAAGATTCTCAACCCGCACAGCCATGTTCAAGACATGGTTTTTAGAGGTGAAAAGATATTGATAAAAATCAGTGGCAATATCCTCCTTTCCTTTCTCCTTAGTGACCCATTCCCCGACATTATTCCGAAGACCAGCAACAAAGTTACGCTTTCTTCGAGCCCTCGTGACAGTATGGAAATAAGAAGAATTCTTATCCCCTTTTCTAAGCCATTGAACTCTCGATTTTTGCTGCCAGTAGACCTCTTCCGCTTCCCACTGCCTAGACAGCTCATATTCCAAAGTGCTCACCTCCTCCCAATTAATCGGATAAACCAGCTTGACCCGATCAATTTATGCCTAGAGGGTTCTAATATTCGGCAGAGAATTGGTAGTTCCTTCTCTGCTCCAATCATACAGAAGATGCCGAAGTTTGTTTAGGCACTCCCAAAGCTGATACATTGGAGTCCCATTGATCTCCTCCTGCCAAACATAGGAAACCATAGCCTTTACTTCTTGATTGTCACCTAACGGGCATCAAATCGAAAGAGTGGGCGACTATTCCGGACATACGGTTTCTCGGATAAGAGCAAAGCTCTATGATCAGATCCCTGATCGGTGAAATGTTTGGCTAGGGTATCCGGGAATCGTTCAATCCAAGATTGATAGCAAAGAGCCTTATCCAAGCGTTCTCGAATACAGGCCGCACCCATGCGCTTATTTGTCCAAGTGAATTGATCTCCTTGATACCCAGGATCATGGAGACTCAGGTCATGCACAAACGCATGGAGATCAATCGAATGGGCAGCATTCCACTGATTACCACCGTCTTTATCATGTGCATGAAGCGTAGCATTGAAATCCCCTATCACCACAAAAGGGATCTGGATTTCCTCACATAATTTACGAACTTGAGCCAACTGGACGACTCTAATTGCCAAATGACAACTAATGTAAACACACACCATAACATACGAAAAGTCACTTTCATTAATTCGAACACAAATGCAAAAACTCGAATGATAAAACACCAAAGCATCAACTTCAGGGGGCAAAGCTACTACTAACCCACCGGACGCAATAATTACATCTTCAAAAAACAATAAGTAGAATCAAACCCCAAACCCCACATTCTACGAGAAACAACCCTCCGCCCTGATCATGTTTCAGAAAAAAAAACACAAGCTCCGGTTTATTGGAATGAATTAACCCTACAAAAGTTTGGAATGTGAGTAATGGTCCAATTCCCCTCACATTCCAGGCCAGAATCTTCATTTATCTGGCTGGGGCCATTCAAGGCTGGCTTCCTCCACCTTTTCAGCATCAATGTCATCTTCCACAAACTGTTTCATAGGGGTGGGGTGCTCATCCACCTCCCCATCCACCGCCTGTAGCCCGCTTCTTTCCTTCAATACTCGGGTCCATGATATTTGACCCATACTCATTGAGTTTCATAATCATTTGGTGCTCATCACCTCGCAATTCCTCCACAGCACTACCAACCACCTGGTCTCGGCCAGAGCCTACGCCATTACCCTCCTCCTCCCCGATAAATGTCATGCCAGCTTCAAAGGCTTTGACCACCTGGTTCACACGTCTCAACTCCGAACGATAGTCACCAGACGGAGCCGAACGGGGAAGCCAGATTTTCAGCTCAAAATGGGACTCGTCCTCATGAGAGAATAGATCCTCCGAGTCACCCATGATTTTTTCCTCAACATGGAGTACATTCTCTTGAGGAGTACATGGAGGGTTCCTTCAAGGACCCTTTCTTATCTTTCTTTTGCTTCGGCTTGCTTTGCTTAGCTTTAACGCTGGCCACATCCTTTGGCTTTGAATGACGAGGCCTAGCTGTGGCTTTCCCTCGTTTGGCCGATGGAGAGGGTTGGCCCATGTTCAGCTTCCCTTCCTCCACATTAGGTTCCCGTCGAGACTGACGAGGAGCATCCGCCACCGCAGCAGGGTCAAGGCAACGCCTTGTTTGTTTGGAAGGCGCCGCATGGAGTGTCTCGTCGTTGGAGTCATCGTCAAGTAATAGCCGTCGTTGTCGGATCGGTGCTGGGGCCACGTCCACCGAGGTCAACGAATCCTCCATTTCAACCTCCTTCATTTTGCCCAAGAAAGCTGGCAAAATCTCCTTGGGGCCAAGCGTATCCCCAAGAGAATTGTCGACCAGAGCGTTCTCCCTCATCCTCCTATCGGCAAGCTTCGTCCCCTTTCTCATCACCCCATCTCCATTTGGCAAAGTAACAGTCTTCTTTTGCTGTGTCGCTGCACTATGATCACGCCCCAAATTCAGCTTCGGAGATTTTGCCATGGGTTCGGTCACCGGGAAAGCTGAGGGAAATAAACCCCACCTCGTAAGCCATGAAGGCCGCCGGCTCGTTACCGTCACCGGAAAATCTACTGGCAAAAATTCCGTTTCAGTAGTCCTTATAGGACGAAGACACATACCCGTCTTCAATTGGGATGCTAGTATAGGATTCTTATTATTTTTTTACTGTTGGAAATATATGTTCCACGTAATGTGGGCTGTGGTTTATGGATAATTGTATTAGTTATTTGTTAAAGTGGGCTAATTATAAGTGGTCAAATTATGGAGCCCAAGACTACTCAATACCTGATATGGGCCCAATGAGTGGAAACCAGATACTAAACCTAATTAGGGTTTTATGGGAACCCTAGCTAAACATAGTATATAAAGAACCTAGAGGTTGTGGTCCCCAAGACACCAAGACCAAAAAATACACACATATTCTCCCCATCAGGAATACGTGAGGTTTCCCGTGAGTGGACTAAGGAGACTTGGTTGAGGAAGGCCACTAAACTTCCCGGATCGTGCTTCTGAGGTATCGTCCGGTTCAAGATCGTTCTACAGATTCCGCATCAAGCTCACGATGATCTACCATCATGAATCCAGGTATTTAGATCTATTCGCCTTTGATAATCTGACAAGATGTATTCCGGGGAATTACATATCTCGATTAATTCCAACAAGTGGTATCAGAGCTGGTTATCTTTGTTAGATTATTGGGGTTTCGGTATAGTCCTCTGATGATGCTCAATTTTTATGCGATCTAGTAACCTGCATGCTACTGTGTCAAGTTTCGATACCGAGTCCTTGCATGATTCTATGTTCGTTCCATTCGTGGTGTTGTTGTTTAAAGCCATGCGTGCTTATATTTCTTGTGAATGGAAAATTGAAAGAGTCCATTCTTTTGTTTTTTTACTTCCTCGAGTGGCAATGGCATTGGCCATCTTTTGTCTTTCGTTAATTCCATAGAAATCATGCACTATTGCATGTTTATTTCACGTTCTGGGGGTCTTGCGTTAGGGCATTAAGGTTTGGCCGGGAGAAGTTTTTTTTCGAGAAGAGGGCCGGCCGGCGATTTCATGAAATTAACCGGCTGCTGGGATTTGATCAGTTATTACAGATTGGTCGGCTGCTCTAATTAATTACAAAAGGAAAAGGCAATTATTACAGTAGTGCTGCGTTTGATCGGTTATTACAAAATGCAGTTACGGTAATAAAGATGGGGAATTCAGTGGAATAATAATATATTTGGCAGCGTAAGGTTGGAATTAAAGTTTGGTGCCGGTTACGGCTCTACGGAAATTATTACGCTCTTTTTTTATTCCCTCTCCATCGGGATTTAATTGCTTCAGTTTGGGTTATTTTATAATTGGTTGATTGATTTACTGTGTGCGTATTTTGGGAATGTATATATATTGTTTTTGAACGCACATGGTTTACGTAATCAATCAATTGGTCCGGTACTTTTAAATTGATTTGATTCTTTACGTTATGTTGCCAAAGTAACCTCTAGTGTAAAAATTGATCAAATTAAATTACTTGGATGTATAGTGTGTGGTTGTTTATGCGGATAGTGTTCGGCCCAAAGGTAGATACTATTTGGCCAAATGATGATGCACCTTAATGATAAATACGTGATGATTGTGAAGTTTATTTTCATGTGAATGATAGTTGGTCCAAAGATAAACTATTATTTGACAGAACTCATTATCAGTATTTGATCATTTTAGTAAGAGTACCGCTCGCAGTTAATTTCTCTGTCCAAAGACTAAGAGTTAATGTTGCATTTGGTATCTTAAGATGGGTTTCAGAAATAAAACTTAAATGTCTGAATTTTCTTCTCGTGTAATTTTTGTTTGACATGAGTGCATGTTTTCTTGTTTCTTTACAGTGTCTTTAGCTTCTGCTTCCAATGTTTCTGCTCAAATTAGCAATATTCCACTATTGAATGGGACAAACTTTAAGATCTGGAAAGAAACCGTAGAAATTGTTCTCGGTTGTATGGATTTGGATCTTGCACTGCGGTTGGAGCGTCCTGTTTCTGCTCCGGATAACCTTAATGAGGTTAAAATAGAAAAGTGGGATCTCTCTAATCGTATGTGTATGATGATCATGAAGCGCTCTATTCCAGAAGCGTTTCGGGGCTCTATGACCGAGAATGAGAGCGCTAAGGGGTTCCTTGAGGAAATTGAGCAATACTTTGCCAAGAATGAAAAATCAGAGGCAAGTAACCTTTTGTCTAAGCTCGTTTCCATGAAGTATAAAGGCAAGGGGAACATAAGGGAGTACATTATGGAGATGTCTAATCTCGCATCAAAACTCAAGTCACTAAAGTTAGAGCTGTCTGAAGATTTGCTCGTACACTTGGTTTTGATCTCTCTCCCTGTACACTTTGGGCAATTCAAAGTGAGCTATAACACTCAGAAAGACAAGTGGTCTCTCAATGAGCTTATATCTCACTGTGTGCAAGAGGAAGAGAGGCAAGCGCGGGATAGGACTGAGAGTGCTCACTTAGCATCAAGTTTTCAAAACAAAATCAAGAAGAGAGCTAGGGATGTTGCAGAAAAGTCTTCTCAGCAAAAGAAACCAAAGATGCAAACTGAGGGGTTTCCTTGATACTTCTGTAAGAAGACTGGGCACATGAAGAAGGAGTGTCCCAAGTATGCCGTTTGGCGTGAAAAGAAGGGTGAGCTTCTTACTTTAGTTTGTTCTGAAGTTAATTTAGCTTTTGTGCCTATGGATACTTGGTGGGTGGATTCTGGTGCTACCACTCACATAAGTGTATCTTTGCAGGGCTGCCTGTGGAGCCGGCCACCAAGTAAGAACGAAAAGTTCATCTATGTGGGGGACGGCAATAAAGTTGCAGTGGAGGCTATCGGAACTTTTAGATTACAATTAAAGACTGGATGCCATTTGGATTTGTTTGAGACTTTTGTGGTGCCGTCATTTCGACGGAATTTAATTTCGGTTCCATGTTTGGACAAATCAGGTTATTCTTGTTCATTTGGAGATAATAAATTTAGTCTCTCACAAAATTCAGTCTTGATTGGTACCGGTCCATTGATTGATAATCTATACATGCTTGATGTGATTAGTTCCCATAATGAAATCCTCCAAACAAGTTCACGAGGTACAAAGCGAAAATTTAATGAGAATTCCGCTGCTTTATGGCACAAGCGCTTAGGACATATCTCCAAACAGAGAATTCAGAGGCTTGTGTCTGATGGAATTCTTGAACCCTTAGATTTAGCAGATTTTGAAGTCTGCATTGAGTGCATTAAGGGTAAGAGAACAAACATTAAGAAATTGGGTGCCAATAGAGCTCAAGACGTCTTAGAACTCATTCATACTGATATATGTGGTCCATTCCCTACAACATCTTGGAACGGTCACAAATATTTTATCACGTTCATAGACGATTACTCTAGATATGGTTACCTCTTTCTTATAAATGAGAAGTCGCAATCCTTTGATGTTTTCAAGTCTTTTAAGGCTGAAGTTGAACTTCAACTTGGAAAGAAAATTAAGGCTGTCAGATCGGACCGTGGTGGAGAATACTATGGTCGATATGATGGATCCGGAGAACAACGTCCAGGATCCTTCGCGCTTTACCTCAAAGAGTGTGGGATTGTGCCTCAATACACCATGCCAGGAACACCTAGCATGAATGGCGTTGCAGAAAGGCACAATCGTACTCTTAAAGACATGGTAAGAAGTATGCTTAGTCATTCTTCCTTACCGGAGTCACTTTGGGGGGAAGCTCTAAAGACTGCTGTATACATCCTTAATAGGGTACCAAGCAAAGTAGTAACTAAAACCCCTTATGAGCTATGGACAGGCAAAAGGCCTAGCATTAGACACTTGCACATTTGGGGTTGTCCAGCTGAGGCAAGGCCTTATAAGCCACATGAAGGAAAGCTAGACTCAGAGACTGTAAGTTGCTACTTTGTTGGTTATCCGCAGTACTCTCGAGGCTACAAATTTTACAATCCCACCTCACGATTATTCTTTGAAACGGGAAATGCGAGATTCCTTGAGGATATTGAATTTTGGGGGGAAGGAAACATAAGGAATGTTGTCTTTGAGGAAGAACAAGTCAGTGATAGTGATTAGGTTATCATACCTATCATTAGTCCTGACATAGTTATGGAACAAGACAACAATGAAATTCCTCCTCCTGAACCACCAGTGGAACAAAATCAACATCCTCAAGAAGTGCCACTTAGGAGATCCACTAGAGAAAGAAGAAGTGCGATTCCGGATGATTATGTCGTCTTTCTTCAAGAACATGAGGATGGCATAGGATTAGTGGAGGATGATCCTATCAACCTCGCTTAAGCCATGCGCAGTTCTAACTCTGAACAGTGGAATAGTGCCATGAAAGAAGAGATGAAGTCCATGTATGACAATGACGTTTGGGATGTCGTTGAATGCCCTGAAGGAGTAGTTCCGGTTGGTAATAAATGGATATTTAAAACCAAAAGGGACTCTAAGGGTAAGATTGAGAGATTTAGATCACGTCTAGTCGCTCAGGGCTTTACTCAAAAGGAAGGCATTGACTACAAAGAGACTTTCTCTCCAGTGTCTGCGAAAGACTCTTTTAGGACAATAATGGCACTAGTGGCTCATTTTGATTTGGAGCTCCATCAGATGGACGTGAAGACTGCGTTTCTCAATGGAGACATTGATGAGACGATTTATATGGTTCAGCCACAAAACTTTGTTGTGGGAGATCCAAAGAAAATGGTCTGTAAACTTAAGAAGTCCATCTATGGTCTCAAACAAGCTTCCCGTCAATGGTATCACAAATTTCACAAAGTTATTAGCTCATATGGTTTTGAGACTAATCTTGTTGATGATTGTGTATATCACAAGTTTAGTGGGAGTAAATTTATTTTCCTGGTGTTATATGTTGATGACATTCTACTCGCTAGTAGTGATATAGGCTTACTGCACGAAACCAAGAAATTTCTAACAAAGAATTTTGAAATGAAAGATCTTGGTGACGCCTCTTTTGTATTGGGTATTGAGATACTGAGAGATCGCTCTCGAGGTATTCTCAAATTATCAC